TCAATCGGCGGCATCAAACGATGTACCTCAAGACCCACCGCAGCATCGCCGTGGTCTCATTGGTGATTTGCTTCTTTTCATGTGTTGAACTTATTCCTTGTGTTGCACTTATGCTTGTAATGCACTTGTGGTGGATACTTTAAACTCGAACCTTATGTTGGTATTGTGGTATGACATTTGTGTACCATTGTGGATTATTGTGACATATGTGATGTGGTGTGTGGAGATGATATATATATGTGATATATGTGCTGTGAAACATATCTCTGTCTTTGTGATATATATATGTGTTTGTGAAATGTAATGCAAAAAAAAAAATCAGATTTCTGAGGCTTTGCCGAGTGTTATGACCAAGACACTCGGCAAAGAAACACAATTTGCCGAGTGTTATTACCAAGAAACTCGGCGAAAAGCTATTTTTAAAAAAAACCAAATACTGTTTGAAAAATATTTACCGAGTGTCTTACAGTGCCACACTCGGCATATGTTTATTAGTTGCCGAGAGCAACACTCGGCGAAAAGGATTTTTAAAAAACCCAAATACTGTTTGAAAAATATTTGCCGAGTATCTTACAGTGCGACACTCGGCATATGTTTATCATTTGCCGAGCGCAGCACTCGGCGAAAAGGAATTCTAAAAACCAAAAAATATTTTTATAAAACTATTTGCCGAGTGCCTTGCCGTTTGACACTCGGCGAAGTAACTGTTAATGGCGGGTCCGGCGTTACAACCGTTTACTTTTGCCGAGAGCTAAACTGCACACGGCAAAATGTTTGCCGAGTGCCCGATAAATGGCACTCGGCAAAGTTGGCTTTGCCGGTACTATTTATGGCGAGTGCTATTCGCCGAGTGTGGCACTCGGCGAACTATTTGCCGAGTGTTTTACGTAGTTTGCCGAGTGTTTCGGGCACTCGGCAAACGCACGGAGTCCGGTAGTGATGCATGGTTCAAGGTTGTAAAAAGTGGATTTCACTATTCTTTTCGTGCCACGTGATATGCATATATGTATGCCCATCGCATATTAGATTTCAGTTGACCTTTAAATTTGCCTAAATATGTCACATCACATGTATTGCTGTCGTCCAAAACATTTGGTTTTTTATGTCTCCGGTCACATATTATATTATATTCTGATGTTTGAACTGAGAAGTAGCCTCGCGCGCACATACTTTTTGTTGTTATGTATAATATCTGGTCAACCTGTGAAATAAACGGCGCCTTTTAATTTGGTCGTCTAGCATGGAGGGGACTTGGCTGTGCCGGCACGGCTTCGTGCCATCTCGGGTCATGCCCACTAGACACGTGAGGCACATCGGACGTGCCGATACGGCACGGCAAATATTTTATTCGGTCCAAGCATGTCTCATGGCACGCCGGCACGCTTTCGGTCCGTGCCGGTTTAAGCACGGCTCTCAAAATATCTATGTTAAATCTCTGTTTCTGTTTGTGATATAAAAAATATATATCTTATGTGTACTATTTTCATGAAAATTTTAAAGATTTTCATAATCTATTCATGAATTATTTATGTAGTATAATAAATGCTACGAAATTGTATTGCAGAGTTGTAGATATGTGTACGTGCCATTTTCGTGCCGTGCCGGCCCAAGCATGGCCCAAAATGCGGGCCGGGTCATGTAGCCCGTCGTGTCGAGATCCTAGGCAGGACACGGTCCTCGTGTTCGTGTCATGCCGGCACAGCCTAAAATATTTCATACTGTGTCATGCTTCGGGTCGTGCAAAAGGACCGTACTATGACCCGGCCTCAAATGGCACGACCAAGTCCAAGCTCTAGTGTAGCAGGAAGTGTATGGGGCTGTTTGGTTCGCAGCCCCCACCAGCCACTCAGTTGTGGCGTCGCCCAGCACTTGTGGCGGAGAATATGGCCGCCATCTAAAAGCTGAACCAAACAGCTGCCTTTCTCTGTGGCGTGCCGCAGCTTTGGCAGCCGAAGTGTGGCGGTGAGATAAACACGCCCTCTCTCTCTATATATATATATATATTTATCTCATGCGTCTGGTGCCGGCTCCTTTCCGCAAGTATAAAATAAAACATGCTACACGTACGTGTACGTTATTGGTTGCATTCGACCACTGGAAAGTGGAATCGCGACGACTGCATGCGTGCTGGTTTTACTGAGATTATGCGTTGATCCGATGACAGCGACTGCATGCCTGCATGCTGCTCAGATGCAACGGATGCAAGCCGGGTTGTTCGGCTTTTTTTTTTAGCTGGAAAAATATTTTTCTCTCACAATAATTCAGCCAGAACAGTGTTTTTAGCCAGTTTCAGCTAAGTTTCAGCAAGCTGAACGGCACCTGTAGTATGGCCATATTCGTGTACAGAAAAAAAACGTTAAATAATGTGTCTCCGCATGCCAGTTCTATCAATGTCTCCCTCCAACTACTCTTAAGTGTAAGGTGAGTTACGGAGATACAACTTTCAAATAAAGTTTATCTTCATCTGACTTGATTTATAGAAAAAATATAAATTTTACTATGTTGCACCTATTTTAGAGGTAGCCAAATTGCCAACCAGAAATCCATTTACCTTGAGACAGGTAGAATTTCTAGCTAGCCACCTCTGGAAATGTTATTTTAGAGGTGGTTGGGCTTTCTAGCCTCCTCTAAAATAGAGGGTATTTGTAGAGGCAGATGGGCTTTCCAGCCGCCTTTAAAAATCGGCTTCTAGATACAGGTCGATTTAGAAACCATTTTTAGAGACAATCTTGATAGAGCCGTAAGCTTGATTAAAATGAAGGCGTTTCTAAAAATTATTTCTGTAGTAGTCATTTGTCGTTGCCAGGCCTTCACTCTAATTTTATTTTACCAGCACTCCAGCAGTCACCTTAAGAAAAATGTTACTTTCTACCACAGCCAGAAGGGGTATAGTTTGAGCCTATGGCTAACTCAAGTCAAGTGTTAACCTCACTCGTTGATGACAGCATTTACCCTTGTAGCATGCAATGGTTCATCAGATGCAAACGCTGACTGCTCAATCGCCAGCGTAATTGCTTACTGACTCACCAACTTGACTGTTACAGTTCGTCCGCTCCTAGTAGTCCGGCTAGTTAGCAGGTTGGACAATTTCATTGACCGTTGCTCTTGGCAAATATCTACGGATGATGCGTGCATATATGTGAGCCAAAGTGATCAGATAAAACGTGATAATTTTGAGTTTTTGACTGACATATGACCGGAGAAATAGAGCGGACATACGCAATGCTTCCACTTGTATTATTCTCTCTCTTTTCTTCTTCCCATCCTTGACGAAAATTACACGCTAGGTCATGTTCCCAACATCATAAAAAAAGGTACAAACTAGCTACTACCACTGTTGAGAGTAAATAATCTGATTTTCTTTTTTAAATCTTTTTTCACGAACGTGTTGATTTGCCCGTATTTCATTAAGAGGAAAGATGTTTCAAGATTACAACAACAATATCACGCATTTTCTTTTTCAAATCACATGGTACAGACGTACGCCCATGTATATGCAATGCAAGCACACTCACTATGACAGGCGCGTAGCCCTACCATCCGTATCAAGTCGAGAACTTAAATCTAGATGGATAAGTTCCACCAAAAGGAGCCTTTACCAGCTAAGTTCGCAAGTTCGGAACCAGCTGCCAAGTCACACTTCCATCATATTACTACAAAAATGAGTTTTAGAGGCTTGCTTCTTTTAGAGAGGCAATTATAATTTTGGTTGCCCATAGAAACGTCATTTGATGGACTTAGCTAACGAATCACCCCTAAAAATATATTTCCATAAGCAGTTAGTGATATTGATCGCACCTGAAATTACCTGCATTTTCTAGTGACAAACACTTTACCAGTCGCATGTATTCTATGGATCACCTGTAAATAAGTGCCACACAAATAAATTCATAACTTTTCAAATAAAGTTGGATGAATTAAACATTATACTAACATTCTATAGCTCAACGATATATAAAACTATGTAATTTATATATTTTTTTATTTTACTCAGCTTTTTCGAATTTTCAAACAATCTTAGACGGGGCATGCTCTATACTAAGGTTGTAGTGTTTGACGAGATATAAAACTTTGAAGAAGTTTTTTTCATTTGACATCATTATTTAGAGGGGGGCATATTCAATAAAAGATTTGTAAAAGTCAATATTAAAGAATTAGTACGGTGGTAAGGAGGGGTTTTTACACAAGGCTTAGGTCATGGACTCAAATTATGAAGAATGCACATAAGCAAGTTTGTAGCCATTTGTGATTTAGGATCCGTTTTGACCGATCCTAAAAAAATGTTTTTCTGAGTAGAGTGTCAGCAGCAGCCAGCAGCTAAAAAAATCTTGGTCATGTGTATGCCCATCATGTCATATAGTTGGAGGATTACTTTGAACATTAGATTCTAGTATAATCTATTATAACAAATTACTACTACCCAACATCTTAATAAAAGAGGGCATGTAAAAATATGAATCTATTGATAAATCTTTTGAGCACTAAACATGCATATATGTCTCACATTATCATCTTAGGCCCCGTTTGGATCCTTGTAATTGGATTCATTTTAATAATCATAGTTTAAACATATATTAATTAAGCTAATATTGTTATATATGGATAATATTTATATATTAGTGTTGGATATACGAGAGGGATACTTATGTGCTGCATTTCTACCGTAGAGGAGCGAATTGAAGAATGTGTTATAAGTTGCGAAGTAGAAACATAGAACGGTGATCTGTAGAATCAATTTCCATCTCGCACCCTATGAATGTGAGATAGGCCTACATGTGAACTTTCATCAGTGGTAGAATGTCAAATTCCGAGCCAAATAGCTTAATTTATTAAGTAGATTTTAATTCCACCAAATGAAAGGATCCAAACGGCACCACAGAGAAAAAAAATATAGATTCCTCCTTTAGACGAAATATGTTTAATTGGCTTTATTATTCCTCCTTTGGGCAAACAACAAAGAATCAAATATCTCAATCCTAAGTATAACGACTTCAGTACTACTACTCCACAACGATCTGTTCCTGCATGATCTCAGTGGTGGTCTTGTTGATGAGCTCCCACGCGCTCCGGACGTGCCTCTCCTCCTGCAGCGACGAACCCACGGCGAACCGCAGCACAAACCTGTCGCCGACCACCGTGTGTGCCAAGTACGCCTTCCCGGTCCTGTTGAGGCGCTCCATGAGCTCACGGTTGGCCTCGTCGGCGTCCTCCTCCGTCATGCAGCCGCCATGAGGCTTGATCCTGAAGCACACGAGCGCGAAGTTCCTGGGAACCACGACTTCGAACCGGTCGTCGTCGCGCACGGCATCCTCGAACATCTTGGCCATGGCGACATCGCTCCGGATGTGCTCCTGGAGCTTGGCGGAGCCGTAGGTGCGCATGACCATCCAGAGCTTCAGCCCCCGGAAACGGCGGCCGACGCCGACCTGCATGTCCTTGAGGTCGGTGACGTTGCCGGACTCGCTGGCGTCGTTCTTGAGGTACTCCGGGTTGGTCTCCAGCGAGTCGGTGAGGCGGTGCGTGTCGCGCACCCAAAGGCACGTGCAGTCCAGGCAGGTGAGCAACCACTTGTGCGGGCTCATGCTGATGGAGTCGACGCGCTCCACGCCGTCGAGGTGGTGCCGGAACTCCGGGCAGATGCACGCGCTCCCGGCGTAGGCGGCGTCAATGTGCACCCACGCATTGAACACGGCGGCGACGTCGGCAATGGCTCCCACCGGATCGACGGCGTTGGACGACGTGGTGCCGACCGTGGCGCAGACGTAGGTCGGCACGAGGCCGGCGTCGACGTCGGCCTGCATGACCTCGAGCAGCCTCGCCGGGTCGAGGGCGTAGTCCGTCTCCGGGCCGGTGGGGATGGACCGGATGTTGGCCGGGTCGAAGCCGGCGAGGCGGCACGCCTTGAAGAAGGTGGAGTGCGTCTGGTCGGCGGCGTACACGGCCAAGCGCGGCAGGCCGGACACGCCCTGGGAGCCACTCCGGCTGAGGGCAGCGTCACGCGCGGCGACGAGGGTGACGAGCATGGCCTCGCTGGTGGTTCCCAGGATGACGCCGCCACCGGTGCCGCGCCCAGCAGCGCCGGTGTGGTTCATGAAGCTGGGCGGCAGGCGCAGGAGCTGCGCGAGCCAGTCGAGCGCGAGGACCTCCATCTCGGTGGCGGCGGGCGCTGCCTGCCACGTGAAGCCGACGGTGTTCATGGCGGAGGCGATGAGGTCGCCGGCGATGGCGGCGGCGCTGTTGGTGGACGGGAAGAAGGCGAAGAAGTTGGGGCTGGCCCAGTGGGTCATCCCGGGACGACGGAGGCCCTGAGCTCCTTCATGGTGACGTCGAACGGGGCGGAGGATGTAGGCGGCGCGGACCGCAGCTCGTTCCGCAGGTACCCCGGCTTGACGTCGGGCAGCACGGGTAGGTACTCGACGGACTTGTAGTAGTCGGAGATGAAGTCGACGGCCTTGTGGAGGTAGGAGCGGACGTCGTCGGCGTTGAGCGGCTGGAAGCCTCTGGCGTCGTCGCCGAAGGCGGAGAAGGCGGTAGGGTTGGTGTCCAAGCTGCCCATTCTTGTTAGGATCTTTGTTAGCGGAGTAGCTAGCAGAGTTTACTAAAGATCGAGCAAGCAGTGGTCGGTCAGTGGACGAAATGAAGAATTCCAAGCTGATCGAGGCAGGCGATCGAGCTCTGAACTCGTTAGCTAGCGAGGGCTGGTTACTTTGGTGAGGAGAAGCTGGAGTGGCTATATAGGGGAGGGAAGTGAAGCGTGAAGCGGCGTGGCGAAGCAGGCGTTGCACAGGTCGTGGACGTGGATTTCGGAGGTAGGTGAGGACGAAGCTGCAGATGAAGCGAGTCGACTTCGTCAATCGTCAGCGCGAACGAAGGCCGGGAGTCAAGCTCAGGCGGTCATGGCATCTTTGCATGAACGCAGTCATGCATGCAGGTGACGGGTCCAAAACATGGCATTCTCAAGTCATCCGTACGACAAGCCTATAGCATGAATGATGCATGTGCAAAAACTACAAAATATATAATATTTAATTAACAATTTAAATATCTTTGGGGGACGTCAATGCAAGCTGCTGAATTGACCCATCGTCTGCAGTCATGTATTCACAGCCACAAACGTCCACAACTCAAGTAAATTAAACATTCTGATTCAAAATATACTCCCTCCGTACTTAAAAAAATGAAGTTGTTTTAGAAAAGACGTTTGGTCAAATATTGAGAATATAAATCATGAATAACTTTTAAGTTGTTGAGTTTAGAGATGTGAAAACCATATGTATAGATTTGTCTTGAAAAATACTTACATATATCACTTTTTGATAAATATCTTTATAAAAATAAGTAGTCAAAGTTATGCTTTGGAGACCGTGTTGCTATCTAAAACGACTTTAATTTTTAGTATGGAGGGAGTACTTCATTTCATTATATATATAGGTCATGGTTCATATAACTTGGTATAGTCGAATTTAATTTATCATTCGGTAATACACTAGTACATGAATGTTTTTATAGATGGTCAAAAACAATCTTTAGAGAGAGTTAGCAAAACCATTACTATTCCATCGAATATAGAAATAATTTACTTTTTGAGACGGTTTTAAAACTGTCCCTATAAATTGATTTTCAAGGATGGCTATTTTTTAAGAGAACCGCCCTTAAAATTCATTTTTAGGGTTCATTGACTTAAGTCAACCATCTCTAAAAATAATTCTAGACCTTTTTAAAAAAACATTTGTAAAAATAAGGAAAAATTAATGTGGCCCGAAGCCCAGTGAACCAACCCCGCACACATAAGTTTTAATTCTGAACAAGTGTAGCCACCAAGATCCAAACCCAGAACCTCTCACCTCGCATGTTCGGTCCCCTACCACCATACCCCACAGTTATTTGTAATCAATATAACTCGTGAACAATCTAGAATGAGAAAACTTTTAACTACAAATTTTTATATCCTCTCCAGCACTACAATTTTGATAGAGGACATATCTCCATCCAAGGTCATATGAAAAACTTAAAATTTAAAATTCAAAAACTGAGACCCTAAGCGATCTCAAATAAAAATATCATGATCTACAAAGATTTAGATCTTGTCAAGTCCTATAATTTTGATATAAATTTTGTCTTTATTTGACTTTATTTGAAATGGTTGTGAATTTATTTGTGTTGCATCTCTTTTGAAGAGCGGTTGACTTAGTCATCTGTCTTTAAACATTGATTTCTACAGCGGCTGGCTTAATTCAACCGTCCCTAGAAATGACCTATTTTTAGAGGTAGTTGAAATAAGCAACCGTCCATGAAAATTATATTTTCAAGAATGGTTTTCTTAAAAAACCATCCTTGAAAATAAATATATTTTCCGTGACAACTTACTTAACAAAAACCGCCCCTAAAAATATATTTTCACGGATGGTTTATAAGCTACAGTGCTCTTAGAGCTGGTTAAAACAATTTGCTAAGTAAACCGTTCTTCAAACAAATAGGAGACACCTGTAAAAAATCATTTCTGTACTAGTAATACATTATCTGTATCCACAAAATCCTTTGCTAACCATAAGAGAGCACAGTACTTTCAAAAGTGCTTTTGCTACAGTACTCCGGGTACCACATGTAAGAGGTAAAATTTCAAAAAACTGAGGCCTTACTTTTGATTTTTAAAATACACAATGAAATAATTAGGTAAAGAAGAAAATTGCGGCCACAAAAAATGAATCATTAACATCACGGGCGTGCCTCACCGGTCATGCATGCTATTCGCGTGAGCCAGGAATTTAAACATTTTCACGTGAAAACTATGGAGAACTCGTGGTTGTCGGCTTGAGTCCCTTTTGTCATGAAATCCCTTCCCTTCCGTACCTCTCTGAAAAAGCAAACTATGGACAACGCGGACGGCAACTACCAAGACCCCGCCGCGCGAGTGAGTGGCCGGCCGCCCGTGCCACCGACGAACAAGAATATGAGTACGTGAGTGGGTGGGCTATTAGAAGGAGAATTGTTTGTGAGAACTGAAGACCGAAAGCTGAAGAACATAAGATAAAGACTGAAGACCCTCTAAGCAGTTGCACATTGTGTGAGAAGTGTAAAAGGAAGATGGGTATAACATGAGTATTTCTTGTTACCTATTACTCAGTCCTACTATATAATGTGTAACCACTTTTTAATCTATCTAGTTCCATAATATAAGACGTGCTTTCTCTATATGCACGTATTTCGATACAGTAGCACTAGTGTTGAGAGAAGATAATTAAATACGTTTCTTGGTCTTTGTGTCGGATATATGGGCCAGGGTACCTGCACCGCCCATATAAACGGTCATGTCCAAGCTATCGGCCCAGGAGCCGTCAAGTAAGAAGCCCACGAGGGCCTAGGTGGTCGATTAACGTGGAGACCAAGGCAAGACAAGAATATCCGAGATAGGCATATCTGGATGATAGCTAGGATCAATCTGTTGCGTATTTCACGTAACAAACTAGGAATCCAATATGTTAGCCCGATCACCCTCATTGTAACCCTACCTCCTCTGTCTATATAAAGGAGGGTAGGGACCTCGCGATCGGGATCCATGTCCTCTCGTGATCGTGAAAATGTTTAAATTCCTGGCTCACGGTTCTTCATGTTAACCTTTTTAACGTGATGGAGATATGTTCCTAAGATAAAACTTCTCTATACAAGTGTTAAGAAAGTTTCCTGGCATGTGTTTATATTTCTACGGAGTATTTCATAAACAAGGCACATGTTGACACTAAAAAAACTGCGCATAAAACAAGTGTGCCAAAAAAATGGTACACAATAAATCACGTTATCATAGTCGTGTCGTGTTAAAAAAAACGTTACAATTAAGGAAGCGTGTTATTAGTTACTAAGTACTACTTCACAATTCAGCCCAACAAGCAGCAGTGAAGCCCATCCAACCACCCAGACCGACTACGGCAAGGCACAGGGCTGCTGCTCTTGGCACTCGTTCCCTCGCCCGTGCCTAGGTCCTCGCTATATCCTTCGCACCGCCGCCTGCTGGTGCCCCGCGCGCCGCGCCGTCGCCCACCACCATCCACCAGTCCCGGCTCTGCCGGTCAGGCTAATCGACGGTTGACTGGCCGGCTGGCCTTGGGCGTCAATTAGGCGTCTCTGCACTTGTGCGCGAAATCACAGCGCCCCTGCGCCCGCATCGCCGCATGGACGACACAGCCGCATAGTCCCTCAAGAGGCCGAGATCACTCGAGCAGCGAGCAGGACGCGCGGCTAGCCGGTGTTTCTCTACTAATTTTAAAATTCTAATTCCAAGTTTCATTCCAACTCTTTGTAAAGCTGTAGCTGTATTTATTTTTGCGTGTCGTTGAAGCAACTTCTTAATTTGAAATTTTTTCTTTAACATAGCTATATGTTTTATGCAACACATATATATAGACTATGGACTATGGCATATTTTTTCGGCTTTGGCTAATAAAATTTAGCTCTAGTCTTGATCAAATCCTAGATCTGCCACTCCTTCTTATAAGAGATAATATGTGATAAACGGGACTCACACAATATGTGATAAAAGCCCTACTCCCCGTCCCGTCACGACATGATGTTGTGCGAGACCATGGTTGGTTTTGCCACTTGGGCCATTTCATGATAGGAGTTTCGGGAGCTTTTGCTCATGATGACGGGAGTTACGGGAGTTTTTGTTTCTACCATGAGTTTCTATTCCGGACTTCTGATCTCCCGTACCCGACACTGCGATGCCTAGTCCGCTAGACTTTCGAGAGACGTCTGGTCTTCTACGGGAGAGAGCGAAATAAGAGGCACCTCTCGGCAACATGTCTTCTCTCTTGCACACATATCTCCACAACTTCCGCGGCAACCCAAGGATCTCTATTCTGGTCCTTGTGCGCACAGGAATAGGAAGAGCAGGCCTCCAAAACCGAGCCATCTTTTGTGTTCATTTGCTTAATTGGGTGAAGGCCGGTATTAGGTTTTTGGGGAGCATCTTTGAAGAGACGCGAGTGCTCGAGTCAGTGACTTATTCCTCCTGCTACTTCCTGACGGCTCCGTGGTGGTGGTGATCTGCACTGCGACAAGCGGGACGACTAAATCAACAAACGCTATGTCGACTAGCGGAAACGGCTCTAGCACCACTGGGTATGCTGCTGTGCCGATCCGCCTTTTATTTTCTGTGCTTGAAGCTTTGAACCCATGATTTGTATGATGCTCTTAACTTTTT